CTGTGAGGGGCGGCTTGGGGCGAGCGGAGGCGCCTGGGGCGGTGTTCCCCTCGGGGAGTGCGTGTGGGGAGTGCCAATCTCCGGCCTCGGCCAAACTCTGCCCCCCTCCTTGTGTTTTAATCCCCCTTTCGCCTTCGCTCAGGGTGTTTGGTGAGGAACACGGGGGCGGGCGCCGGGGCTTTGGTACTGGGGGCGGCCCCGCAGGGCGCCGGGCCGGGATCGACGCTGGGGCAGCCCCGGCCCTGGAAACCCGGGAGCGCACAATAGTTGTTTCCTTTCATTTTCCATTTCCCGGGTGTGTAGTAGGAAGCTCTTCCCCCGCAGCAGACTTTATGCGGGTTAGGCTAACCCTACCAGGTCCTCTGTTTGCCCTAGAAATGTAAAAGGAGGGAGGAAAAAACCCCGGACTGACTTATCTGAGCGTTGCTTGCCTGTATTAAACACCCCGTCTTTCACCAGGACTGCCCTGCCTTCACTCCTTGTTACGTTCCTGTCAGTTCTGGCTTCTGAACCTGGGACTTAAATAGTTACTTGTACTGCACGTGTGTGGCTTGCTTGGCGTGGTGTGTATACAGTCCTTTGCTTACAGCTACTGCTTTAGGCTATGTGACCTCCTGGTGGAAAGTTAAAACAGCATTCCGGTTTTAATTGTGTTCTATTTTGCTTTATTTTTTTATATTGCCTTCATATGGCATGGTTTTCTAACTTTGTCACGACGATTCAACTTTGGAAAAATCAATGTCAGTATCTGCAAATGTTTCCTGCAATGCTGTGAAGTCAAGAATAGTGCTCCTGCCAGCCAGGAAATTAAAAGTATCCAGAGACAAGGCTAAGCTTGGTATACGCTCTGCCTGCCTTGAGGAATAGCCTGGATACATTATGACCCATGTATAGAAACCATTGCTTTGTGCGCTGGTGGTCTTCCTCCCCGCCCCCGACTTTCAAGCGCAGTGCAACTCTGCTGATGAGGTTGGTGCTGCTGCCTGGCTCTGCCTGGGAGGGTGCAGCTAGGAGCACGGCTCTTGCTGGCACCCATTAGGACATGTTTCCAGTATAGTAAAATACGTCAAAGTGGTTGCACAAAAAATAGCAAACTCTGAACTAGATTTTGTAGACTGATCTTCATGTGACCTGCCCTGTAGCTCTCTGCATTTATGAACTAAGGCGTGTTTTAACGCATAGCAGCTTTCATTAGTTAATATCTTCTCCAGGCAAGCTCTGCTAAAACACATACATATTTGTTCTTTGGGTGTGCTTGAAGTATCTAAAATCTATTACATGTGATAACCTTTTTTTTTTGATAGGTCTTCGAGTAAGGAACCTGTTTTGTTTTGGGGTTTTTAATAGAAAAGTTAACATTGTTACATGTTGTGTCATTCAGTTCTTGGGGGACAGTGTGACAAGAGATAAACATGCTTAAATAACAGTAGAACGTGTGGTAATTCAGCACTGTAAATCTTCTGTTTATCAATCCTACAGGAATAATTGGATTACATGAAGTTGTGGATTGCTTACAGTGTCTTTCTTTTTGGCTCTGGAATTAAGAGGACACAATTTGTCACCAGTTACAATAACTTTGGCTTGTCTTTTTAATATAAATAAAGAAGGATACTTGATTTAGTTAATGTACTTCCAATAGGAAATTAGCTTTTATGATAAGGAAAAATACTAGTGAGAAGGGCAGACTTTAAAAAACACATGGCTGCTTGGTGGGATCTAAGCAGAAACAACAAGAATTGTTTTCCCCCTCCCTTTGAGGGTCTCAGACTGTTTTTGCTTTGATTGAATCTAGATGCTGGCATTTTTACCTGTTCGTGTAATACTAATAAAGAATGCTATAGTTTGTGTATGTTTCTCCACTCATAACAAATGCAAGAGTTTATCTACTGTGTTAGGAAGTGTGTTGTAGTCTTATTCCTCTAGTAATTTGGGGTTTGTTGTTTTTAAAAAAAAAATGAGTATAGGATTTTTTTTAGGCTTGGACACTGAAGTTTGAGCGCTTCAGAAAACTGGAGGAGGAAACTTGCAATAATGCTTCCTTACAATGTTTGTTTTCTGGTTTCATTAGTCGTGATAGCAATACCAGTGTGTTTCATCGAAGAAACTTTGGGTACTTTTTATGGTCATGAATTTAGTGTTGGTACATAAATGTGAGACAATTCTAGGAGCCTCATTTTGTGCTATTTAGGAAAACTATGGCATGAGGTCTTCAAAACTTCAGGCATCTAATGAAAAGTTTAGAGCTTGGGAGCGTTGTGGTATTCCTGTTCTGTTTGTATGGTAGTCTTTTTTTATGTACTGTTTCATAAGATACCCTAAACACCAGTTCCTTTCACAGTGCGAGTAAAAGTCTGGAGGCTTGCTTGCAGATAGCTGATCCAGGATTTTTTTAGTGAATGCTTGTAGTTTAGTAACTTTGCAGTCTCCTTGCTTTCTTTGTTCTTAAGTGGTTTTGTGTTGGCTTTACCATTCAGCATTGAATGGCAGTATAGTTCACTGACAAAATGCAGGGAGCTGTTTCAGACTTACTGGGTCTTGCTGTGTTCTGATTTCAAGTATTTTGCTCGTTTTTTAAGCTTCAGTTATTGGCATTGTCAATATTGATTTGATCTTATTTCTCTTTTCTTGATATTTCAGCTCTGTTTGCTCTTATTTTGTGGGTAAGAGGTTGCTGGGGCTTTAAACGAGCATCTCTTGTAGTATGATGTTTCAAGATGCCGGTTCCCTCTGCTTTGTCTACTGTTTGCTGCTTCCCTCACTCGTTTTTAGTCCTAGAGCTCTCATTCCCTGAGGGCAGGAGTCAAACATCTTATGAATCATTGCTTTTCGCTCATACTGGCCAGAGGCACTGTCATAGCAGCAATGATGATTTGTCGTACTTTGTACAGGATGATTTGTTTTGGAAAACTGAGTAGGTAGATCTGTGACAATTGCATGGAATTGTATAAACTAATACAAATGCCTCTGCTGCTGCAATAATATGCTGCCGTGCAATTTGGTTCTTATGCAAAGTAAACTAAGAAAGTGACTGACCTGAAACATCACGTAAAGGGACAGGATGTTCTTACAAATTCTTTCACTGGTAGCAAAACAGGAGATAATTTTGAAGTTACAGGCTTCAGATCTGTAGAGATTAGAATCTCTTTCTGATACCTAGAGGTTAGTAATCCTGCATACGGACAATAAAAATGCTGTTTGTGCAAGTTATCAAAACAAGTCACAGGTTCTTGCTTTTCTTTCTCTTTTTAGTCGGCAGTGGAAACCAGTGTATTTTTATTACTGCAAATTGTGCCATGAGATTAGAGTTTAAATATGTTAGAAAAGGAAAACTTAGGTGGGGAGCACGGTTGCTGTGATGTGACTGTGTTACCAGTGAAGACTCCTTTCACGCTTCAAAGGTGACTTGCTTGGAGACCTGAGGGTGTCTAGCTTCTTGAAAGCTTGGGGTCAGTTTTGGGTTTGAGCTTGCAGGGTGATGAATCCATCCGAGCAGTCCAGGTTATACCCAGGTGGGTATTTAAAAAAAAAATAAATAAAAAAAAATTCAAACCAAGTGAAGTCTCTGCCTCATACTTTTTTGTCATCACTGAAACTGAATGGATCTGGCTCGAGGCAGTGAGTCAAACTGATACAAAGAGCACTTCCTCTCTCTTTCTTTCCTACAGACTGAGACTGGTACAGATAGGGAAGGTGTCTGCAGACTTTCCCCCTGCTCTTCCCTGAACTTTTAACATTCAAAGAAGTTGTGCGTGTTTAACCTCTTTAAGGAGCCGGGGGGGGGGAGAGCTTGGAAAGGCTTGTCTGCCATTTTAATTTGAAGATAGAGACCTATCTGGATGGACTTAATACAGAAGGTTGGTATGGGTTGGTATGGTTTTTTGATGCTTGATCCTAAAGTTCAAGTCCAGCCATACAAAGGATATTTCTGTATACTCAGCAAAAAGTCCCTTTAGGACTGTGAAAATGTATATGGTAGGTGTCTGTACATATTTTGCTTGTTTTGTTTACCATGTTAAGCAATAAAATATGAAAGGAAGATCTGAAATGTGATCAGCACGATATCCTTGTTTCTGGTTACTTGGGAAGATTTCTTCATCGAGCACCATCTGGACCCGAGACAGTGTCTGTGTAAAATCCGTTCATGCTGCAGTGAAACATACTAAAGGCCTGATGCAGAATACGTAGTGACAGGCAAGGGATGGGGTTAATAGTATCTCATCTCTCAGCTGTCTTATCTATCTGCAGCTAACATGAAAACTTAATTCATGTCTTTTAGAACATAACACTTAAACACTTTTGATGAGCTTTAGCGCTCCAGTTGTTGAATCAAACTTCTCTGTACAATTAATTCTTATACTGGAAAGATATCAAAACACCATAGTTCTTAGAATTGTAACTTTTAAGAATTGTGATCTTAAAACACACATGCTAGAAGGAAGCTGTTGCTTGATGTTGTTTTGTGGTCGTAAAAAAGTAGGTGGCTGACCATCCTTTTGAAAGTAGTGAACTACTGTTGATGTAATAGGCTGAAAAATGTTTGCATGTTTCACTGTTTACACTGATAGGGTGTCACAGGTGCTTTCTGTTTACTTTCCTCAGGATGTTCTATTTTCTGTCAAATATCTGAGCCTCTTCGTACACTTCCTGTATTTCTTTTTTGCAGTATGTTGACTAGGAGTTAGTGGTATAAAAATCACACTTTCATTTTTGCATCTGTCATCTATTCCAAACGGTCCTTCTCTCATCTCTTACGTTCTTCACAGCATTTCTCTTACATCACTACTAAAGCTTTTCACAGGCCTTTGATAATATTATGTTGCTATTATTTTCATGCACAGAAAGGAAGAAATAAGGTGCCTTGGATAGTCTGATTTCATGTAATAAGGAGGATGACAGCTGTCGTGTTGGCCAGTGAAAATAACGAAGTGTTGAACTGATCAAATTTTTTTTTTAAACGTTTTTTCTTGCAGGAAGCAAAACCTTCAGCCGAGGACTTAGGAGATAAGAAAGAAGGAGAATACATTAAACTCAAAGTCATTGGGCAGGTGAGTTTTTACATAATTATTTGTTGACATTTGGTGGAGGTGTGAGTTGTTGTATTGTAGAAATGAACAAATGAAAGTTAATACTTTCAGTTCTTCAACATGGATCATCCCCTGCCCTAAACTACTTGTCAGTTGCCACTAATGTGCGTTGGTATGATCTCTGGTGTGGTTTCTTTTTTTTAAAAAAAACTTGAGTTATCCTTATGACTCAGGATTTGGTCATTGTGGTCCTCATCTTGCAGCTAGGGGACTTGATGCATTGAGGGATTGATTTATCCAAGGATATGAATGAAATATGTGGCAAAATTGATAAATTCAGGTCTTCATAGTTCGTGTAGTACACCAAGCATGAGGTCAACTTTCTTGGGCAGGGATGGCAGGAGGATTCTGTTGGGTGGCATGTTGGTAGATATGAACAGTGGATTATAAGTTTGAATTCAAGTTGTGTTGGAATGTGAATGTCGAGATCCTTCAACAGAAGTCCTTCTGTGCAAAGAACCCATAACTCGTATGACTTAATACAGTATTCTTTGTTGGAGTATTAGCGTGATTGCTGTGCTGTTGACTGGAGATGGATGAGTTAAAGTAGGACTAGCACAAACTAGTTTATCTCTTGCTGGTTTAATTGGCAACGGTGAGAACACATTCAAAAGCTAAATGTGACCCACATGGGTTTTGCAAAGAACCTCTTGCAGTCTTTTTTATCTGTAGCCATTTTGGCAGTTGTAGTTACTTGTAACTTACGGGTGGTAGGAAGGACTACAGAATAATGAGACCTATGATTTCTCTTAGGTCAATGTTGTGTTGCCAGATCTGCCTGTATCCTAATTTCTAGATAATTATACTAATTGAACGAGGTTTCGTTATATTCGTTTATTTTGTCATATTTCGTATTTTGAAGTGCAAGCTGTAACTTGTCTCTTTCGGAATTTTAGAGCAGAAGTCCCCTGCATATGTATGTTTGTATTTCATAACTACATCAGCTGGTTAAAGATGGAAGCACAGACTGAACCATGTATGGGTTTTACTACTTTAAATCCAAAACCTCCATAGTGAGGCTATACTATGCCATCTGTTTTAAAACAGAGGTTCCTGTGAAAGTGCATGATGAATTTAGTGACAGATAAATCATCCCGGAGGTTCATGTTATGATGCACCAAGGTATGCATGGTGATAGTTAAACTGCATTCCATGTTAGTTTTACATAAGTTTTTCTGAATGAAAGTCTTAAAATTAGCATAGATAGACTAAGCAGCTACTACAAAGAGAGTAACTTTTTTCTTTTCTGTTCTTAGGACAGCAGTGAAATTCATTTCAAGGTGAAAATGACAACACACCTCAAGAAACTCAAAGAATCATACTGTCAAAGACAGGTTTGTGAAACAATAACATGCTCTCTTTAAAAAGAAAATAAAAAAGCCAAACACTTTACTTGTCTTACTGTTCTTTCAAAGAAAGACATTTGTTGAGACAGTCTAGCTTCTGTCTAGTTAGCGTCAGGATAGGTTTCTGACAGTACAAATATAATGGATCTCCTCATTTCTTTTGACAGATATTTCTATTTAAGACAGTTGTGAATTTTGTAGTAAGTTAATATTACTGTTTGAAAATATATAGTGGCTGCTCAGAAGACATAGAAGTTACCTCTTAAAATGCCCAGGCATGCATTTATAGTTACTGTAAAATCTTCTGTCTCCACATGAAATTCCCTTAAAGCTGTAAAATACTGTGGCTTAGGATGAAAGCAGCCTTAGACGTTGTGGCGACCATTAATATGGTAATCGATTAACACTAGCTATTATGCCCTAAGTTAAAGAAATCTGCAACATTAATTGTGGATGTAAGTAAATAGTAACTACTGTTACAGAACAAAAATATATCATCACTTCCACATTCTGTGGCAGATATTGTCGATTCACTGCTGCTATTTCCAGAAGCCCTGGCCTAGTTTATCCCCAGCTGTGGGGATAGATGCCTTGTGTGGCCTTTTCTCAAGTAGCTGTGTGGAGTTCACTTCAGGAGATATAATCATAAGAAATAATACTTGGGGTTTTTTCCTAGTACCTTGAGGCAAGTTGAACTTGTCAACTGGAGTGTTCTTTTGTAGAATGTGTTCTTTTTTCCTGTCCTTCTGGAGTAGGAGAAAAGAAAAGATCAAACACCAGATATGTTTGTAGCCAAATCTAAATGATTAAAATTGTGATTCATTTGAAAAACTTGAAATATTAAAATAAGATCTTGGAAATAGTCCATTTGGCAGCCTTACTGACTGATGACAATGCATGTGTGTGGAGTTCTTTTTTTAAGAAAGAAATAATTGTTTGAATGAACACAGCTGTATCTGTCTCCTGGGCTGACTTCTGGAGACTGTGTGATTTCCTTCATCAGCAGTCAATACGGTTTTTAGTGTCAAGTAGCCTTTCTCTGGTAAAGGGACTGTGAATATTTCTTCCAAGTTGGCCAGAGGGATTGTTGGAACAGTGTGAACTGTTCTTTCCTGTGAATTTTTCTTCCTAGTTATTTGCAGGCAGTATTTCTTCCATCTAATTGATGCACAAAGCAGGTCATATTTCGCTTTTGGTTTTTTTGCTCATTACTTGAAAGAGGAGAAAAATATGAAGTGTTTGCCTCATCTGTTGAGGTGAAGTATGATATTCTGCCGTAACACAGGGACACAGTACAATAGACATGCTGCAACTTAACTGTATTTACTGTTGGGATGCTCCTTGCTCCCTGTTTGAATGGTGTTCCTTTTTCTCCCCCTCAACTCTTCTATTCCTTGTCCACAGCACAGAGCTTTTACAGAACTGGTAATGGTAAAGGTTGCTGTTCCTTCCTATGGTGATAGAAGATTGGGAAAGCAAGGACAGGAGTTCATGAAGTAAACATCATGTTCTTCTTATTGCCTTAGGATCTTTAATAAGACTGACATGGAGTTCAGAAAAAGACAGGACCTTCATGTGTAACGTTGTCTTGGAAGGGAGGGTGTAGTCAGTACTTTATTTACAAATAAAAAAGGACAAGAAAAGACAAAAAAAGCTAAGGAAACTTCCAAGTTGAGCTAGAGCTCCAATGAGACATTGGAATAAACACTCATTTTAGCACTGTTACGCTCCTTGAGTCACTTTTTTGTAGTCTACATGGTTGCAGCAGAATAGCTCCCAATGTAACAGGAACTAACGCGCTTTTTTTTTTGACTTATACATGTGTTGTTTTTATTAAAAGTGTTTTTCTTGTAAATCCATATAAGTTTCAGTAACTTTTTTTCTTTTACATCTGTTTGTGTTTTTTTTTTTAGGGTGTTCCAATGAATTCACTCAGGTTCCTCTTTGAGGGTCAGAGAATTACTGATAATCATACCCCCAAGGAGGTGAGTTTCTTTCTATGAAAAGCGTTATGTAGTTCGCTGGAGAAACTGAATACCAGATTGGTTAGTTTCTCTGTTCTGCTAGGCTGTTAACCAGAATATGAAAGTGTTTCTTTAAAGATAGCCAACTTTTTGGACTACAGTTAGTCAAATACAGTCTTAACTATTTGTCTAACTAGAATTGTTAATAAGGCTGATGGGCAGTTCAGAAAGAGCCTGATTGGACCTTCATATGTCCTGTTGTTTCAGAAGGGAGGGTGTAGTCACTGCTCACCAGAGACAAAAAAAAAGAAACACTAAGGTAACTTCCCAGTTGTTGGCTTCGGAATAAATATGTATTTAGTTCACATTTATTAGAAGAAAGTGTAAATAAACACAAAACAGGTTATTTCTGCTGTCCAGTGACTTCCACCAATTGACAAAGCAAGAAGAAACACTGTTATAATAAGGACCTTCTGAAAAATCAAACTTGTGTACTGTGAAATTGAACAAGTTACCCACTTTGAGAGAACAGTTGTAAACAGGCTTTGAGTTGCAAGCTGTAGGTCTTAGCTGTATTGTGAGCTAGTAGTGGGCTGTATGTAATTCACGTGACTGTACAGCTGATGCATTCACTATGATTTTGGTTGTATTCCTGCACGTCTGTTGCCCAAGGAGGGACTTAGAGAAAGGTAAAGCTAGCAAATTCCAGGCTAATGTGTACTGCTCCACAAGCGGATTTAAACTTCACTGATAAGGCTTTTGCTTTGACTGAGATGTGTAAGACTGAAGGAAAAGGACTGAAAATTATGAGTGTTGGCTAGCAAGATGGTGACTGAAATTTTTTTTACCCCTTTGGTGAATTATGATGGGACAGAGGAACAAACCATTGTATAACTTGTCTAGGACCTGCTCTGAATTCAGTACACCAGATTTATAACAATTATGTGCTGTTTTTCTCTGTTCTCACAGCTGGGGATGGAGGAGGAAGATGTGATTGAAGTTTATCAGGAACAGACGGGGGGTCACTCAACAGTTTAGATCCTTCTGTTTGTTTTCTTCCCCTTTAATCCTTTTTTATTTTTAAATAATAGTTCTTTTGTAATGTGGTGTTCAACACTGAATTGAAACTGGCACCCCATCTCTGGGAGTTTATTTTCAAGCATCTTGGTATTTTGAATTCTCGTGCTCATTATACACTATTGTTTCTATTTTCATTGTGCTGAGCTTTTGTGATCCAGCTACAGCCTTGCTCCCCTCTTCCCTTCTGCCCTCCCCTTTAGAAATACATGTACACACATGCATTTATATGTTCACTAGGTTCGTGCATTTCAGGCACGAAGGCTGTAAGATCTGCCAGGTGGGCGAGTGTTCTTAATGACTTCCATATCTGCCCTGAAGTTTTGATGTGTGACTGTTTCACTCCTGGACTATAACTTTCAGTGCGAGATGAAGTTTTTTCAGAGAACTAAACTGTGGAAAAATTGTGTGTCCATAACTCAGAGCTATTTTACTTAAATTGTGCTGATGGCCCAGCGAAGGTTACCAAGCTGGAAATGGAAAAGCTAGAACTGTTGTCATCTGTACGTTGCTCCAGAGATGGCTTTGCTGAAGACATAAAATTGAAAACCCTAATGATTCTTAAATCTTGTCAGAAGAGCCCAGAAACATCTTAACTTCATATAGCAATTAGTACATGCAGGTATTCATGCAAGAATGTTCACAGCAGACAACTGGTGTTACTTTGGCACTCTTGTTTGTACCTTTTGGCCTTGGACATGGGTTTTGAATGGACGTTGTCTGTACCAGCTTCATTTAAAATAAACAAGAAAAACAATTTTATAAACAACTTGCATTTTATTTTTAAATGTTTGGAAATGAGCAAAACCATTAAAAGTTATAATTAGAGCATGCTTTTCCAGTAACTATACATTGATGTCAGAATAAAAATGTGCTCTGTAAATATACCTCACTTAAAAAAAAAAAAAAAAGAAAAAAGAAAAAAACCCACAACACTAAAATCCAACTTTTTTCTACTTGCCCTAGTGAAATACTTGATCTACTTGGATTGCAGGTGACTTTGAGACTACTAGCTGTTTCTTTTCTTATTAGAGAACATTCACATACAGTTACATACAGCTTCATGCACAAAAGGTAAACTGAAAATGCAACTTGGAAGGAAATATGAAGATGGTTTTTAATATCTATGTTCCATACAATTGTGGTACCATTAAATAATCTCTCTATGCTTCATGACCTAGAAGTGTCATGTTAGTTCATCAGGCATCATTATGAGGGTCGACTTCATGTTCTAGGTAGTTGCAGGTTCTAAATGGTTAGTTTGAGAACATGTTACTAGGTATCAATGCCCAGATGGGTGGTTTGGGGCAGGGTAGTGTGGAGAGGAGGTTTGTGCACTGTCCCTGCTTCAGCCTTTCTGCGGATAAAAAGAACTTGTTTCTGATTTGGTTTGGTAAATCAAGCTCACTATGAATGCCAACTTCATTTGAAGACACATTTTAGTGCTGGCATACTTGGAAGAAATTTCAGATTTTGAGTGATTAGTTTTTATGGCACTTGCTGTAAAGCTAGAAATGCATTTTTTTATGCTTGTGGTTTGTGTCCTATTTCTGATTTAGTAATACTTTTGTACACATAGTTGCACTAAGCAATTTTTTTAAAGATTAAAATTTTTGTTTACAAAATGTCAGAATATGGGGTTTTCTTGAAGTATTCTATGTAATTAAATTCTTAGGGGGAAGAGGGATTACTACGGTGATGTAGAACAACATGGCTTCTTTGCATTTATTTCCAATTGCTTTTTTAGAATACTAAATATATCTGCTTCAGAATACCAGAAATAAAACAGCTTTGTGATTATTATCAGATCATCTTCTAATTTAAATTTGTATAATGCTCTTGTTAGACAAATTCCCATTATCCATCTTCTGAAAATTAGGAACTGAGGTGCAGGGGATGGTAGTTTACTCAGGTCACTCTAGAAGCTGAAAGTGGAACTGAGAAGAGAATCCAGATCCCCTGGGTTTGATGCTAGTACTCGAGTTGCTGCACCAAATTTCTTTGCTTCTTACTGTTCACTTTCCTCTTCCAAATCTGTTTTATATGCTCATTTATATCAGCTTTCTAGTTGAAGCACTGCATTTAGTTCTCTCGAGACTATGGAGGAGGGCATCCTGCAGAATCCTTCCTTCAGTAGGATGAAGCTCAAGGTGAAGATTTCTTTCTGTTGTGTAACCTTGTCCTAAAATACAGCTCTTTATAGAGTGGATATGGTACCAGTGACAAACTGATTTGACCTCTCTCAGACTTGTTGTGAAGCCTCAGAGAGTTAGTGCCTCAGTGGAGCTGCTGGTCTAAAGTGATGTCTGTACTTCAGTAACTTGATGAAACAGTAATAACAGGAAAACTGTAGTCTGCCTCAAAGATTAACATTGAGACCTTCATGTAAAATGAGAAGATAAACCTGCTACACAGATGTGCTAGTACCCTTTTTAAGGAATTTCATTCTTGGAAATTGTACATTGAAATAAAACCAGAATTTTGAGGTCAAGGTGTAGACAGACTTGAATTTTCTTCATTTCTCTGGAAGAACTAATACTTTTCAAAGAATTTCTTTCTGAAAGATAGTCTAGAGTGGAATTTCTAAACCACTCACAGATTTAAAGCACATGACTGGAAGTCAGATTGGTCTTCGCATATTGGAGAAAAATAGAGTAAAGAATCTTTTTTTTCCTGCTGCAATTTTTCATTGTTTACATGCTTACCTGTATATTAGAAGAACTGAGTTCAGCTGTCGATGCCTGGTTTTAAGTGTTAAAAAAAGTGGTGGTGGGAGAATGAAACCATCTTCACTGAGTCAGTTATGCAGTGGAAGGTAGAAGCTAATCCTTACTTTATTTCTAATTATGAAATTAATATATTTAATATTCACTGTTGTGTGTAAAAGCTGTTTTGATAACTGCTTTACAAAATTATCAGTCAACATATTTTCTTAAGCCTGGTATGTTTAAATGATTTTTGTATTCTTTTAAGTATAAATATATCTACATGATCATAAATTCAACAAAAAGGTTTTTTTGAACTTAAATATGTAAATATTGGCAAGGTTTGGACTTCAGTTAGGATGTCAGATAATGCTAAAACTTGAAGTCTGCCACAAATTTTGACTAACCATGTGTTATTTTAGAAGCACTACAACTGTATATTAGTTTTTAACTTTTCCTACTTTAAATGGAAATTATTTTTAAGAATACAATAGTAAAATAGCTGCGCTGACCTGTGCATCTTCTGTATGCACTTCCGAATTATTGGTGTTCAGGTAAATTTTCTTAAATAAGACTATCAGCTTCTGAGGTACCATACAGAGAACTGTAGGAATTGTGCAAGTTGGAAGAAGTGTAAACTGGTTTTGTTTTGCTTTTAGAACGAGTACTTAATGCATATTTAATTTAATGAAGTTCAGCTTCAATTTAAAGACTGCAAAAATTGATTACTCTTCTCCACAGGAGACTCTCTACAGGAACTGCAATACAAATTGTATACTTTCTTGTGTTAAATAATATTAGAGAAGCAGAAAATAAAATAAACCTGATTTACAAGGAAGAAAAGTTCTTATCTTGCTGTAGTTTCTCTGTTGTCATCTTATTGTTGATACTGAAAGCTAGCCTGTTCTTAAACAATGGCACATTTATTGCATTGTATTGGTTTGGAGGATTCCTCCAAAAGTCAGCACGGAGGACTTCATACCTTTTGTAAACTGACAATTCCATTGTTTTCTCTCAACACAAAATGGACCGAAGAATCTGGGATGAAGCTGCAGAGGATAAACTAAATGTGTTCTGGCACCTCAAGAGGTTGGTCTGGATTCATTTCTACTGACTGATAAAACATGAATGCTTCTACTTGCTATCGGTAGGTTACATACACAGACTACTGTTGCAGTCTGGGGAAATAATTTGTGAATGAGAGTAGCACACATCCCGAAAAGGAACGTTCCTCACTTGGATCAGGTTGGAACCTTGAATTAGACTGGAATTGAAAGAGCTCACTACAGTGACCCATTCCTGGCACGAAGCATTTATTTATTCTTTTGTATGGCTTTCAGGCCTTGTTTTTCAAGCAGCTGAAAATAAGAAAACACCCAGGACAAGGAACGTCTTGAGCGTGTTCTGGTCTGGTAGCTTGTATTAGTAGTGCTTGTTGGAACTGGAGATGTTGTTCCAGATCTGTTCTTTGCCTGCAAACAGCATTAATAAAGTGATTTGCAGACACAAGACAGAATTCCTGCTTGGGTTAGAAAGCTGGTGAATGAATTGAAAGCTGCATTGAATTGAAACTCACATGCTCAGCTAGCTCGTTGCTGGTTCACTGGCAGGTTCTATGACTTTGCCACTGAGCCTGGACAGGAGATTGGACTTCTCTCAGGAGCTGTCTTTGAGCAGGGTTTGGAATGGGCTGAGGAGAAAATGTTGGTTTATGCTAATAGGTTCTTGTAGGCCAGTATGTTCTGTCACAGCAGGATGAATAGAGCAAGCAGGTGGTAGTTATTCCTGCTTCGCTGTAGTTGCCATATATTCTCTTATTCCTGGCACTGCTTTGTGACTGACAAATTGATGTATGCTTCCTTAAGAAGGCATGTTATGCTATTGGCAGTGTTTTAGTATGTGGTATGCAGACTCCCAAGTTCCTGTGTTTTGAGGTGCTGGTAGGAATGAGTTCTGGAAGCATGCTATGCTGGAGTCTGCTCTGATGGACTGCGTAAAGGTAATCATAGTTTCAGATGTGTGGGGAAATCTAGTTGGGCTTCTGTAGTGTAAATGTATGTTATAAATTCTAAAACAGTTAAAGAATACAGATGTATGTGAATTGCGGATGGAATGGAAACATTGGAAAACTGGTTAAATAGCCAAAGAACTGCATTGTGACTTGGAGTTTGAATCGAAGGCAGCTTAACTCCCGAGGTACCAATGCTGCTCCTCAGTGTTAACTACACTGATAGAACTCCTGACTAGAGAAGTATAGTCTGGCACTAAGTGTAAAGATGTATTATTATTACTGAGGAAAAAAATCACTTCAGTGTTTGATTAATAGGTACGTACCTGACTAAAAGCTGTGCTTGTGTTTTGGCTTCCTCTAGAGCTAGTTGAGCATCTTCCTCTTTCTTCATCTGCTCCTCAGCCTTGTATCTTGTCTTCTCCCAGTTTCTTCTTCCATACTCCAGGTGTTCTCCTGTCTCTACCAGCTGCTGCTGTTCCTCTTCTTTGCGTTTTTCTGCCTCTTAGAAATGGATCATCAACAACTATTAGTTGCTAACGTACTTCCTATTTACAAAATGGTTCTTTCATCAATTACAAATAGAAAGAAAATACTATTATAATACTGACATTAAAAGTATTTAATATTGGCTTGAACACATGAGTGTGTCTGTAATTGGATTTATTTTTTTTTTAAATCTGCTTGGTGTTTAGGTTTTCAAGCCTTCCTCTGCAACTATTTGTTAGGATCTGTTTTGTTTTTAAAACTGTGTAACTACTGGGACTTGGGCTTTCAGAGAAGATATATAATGAAAACATCAAGAAATGAATAGATGTAGCATGAATGTTGTTATTGCTAGCATCTTGCACCATTGCATTGTAGCTAGGCTGTAGAATTTCTCTACTTCAGGCTGCAGGCACTGTAGAAGAAAGGACTATTGTTACCATATCTGTTTAATAGAGGAGGAGGCTGAGCTACTGCAAGTTTGCAACTGAGTGTCACAGGAATTTCTTGGCAGACGCACAGGCTAAGTCTATGTCTTTATCAGAAATCATCCGTTCAGATGAATTATCT